CCTTTGTCTCAAACCAGCCCTTTATCTCATCCCTCATGGCATCCAAATCCGTGTCCACCGACGCCTTCAGCGCCGACATCTGGTCCGTCAAGAACTCAAAGTCGGACGGCTTCTCATACTTCTTGGCAATTGCGAACACAAATGTGAACCAGGTCACCACCATAAAGCATATTATGATCATCCCTAACAATATGCGTATGGATTTACGCTTTTCAGGGTTCACTTCATACATATTCTTGCGGTTATCAAACGTGTATATCATTTGACACAATTAATTAATAATTTCAAAATAAATATTAATTCAAGTGTTTTGTCATAAGAATAACATATGAACTGAATTTTATGCAAATCCTAAACTGAACTCAACATTCAATTCACTAGTTTTGTCTCAAATAGTTTCCACAAACTCTAAACACAAACTTATGTATGAATACTTGACTCTCTCTCTCTCTCTCTCTCTCTCTCTCTCTCTCTGCCCTTTGTTCACACTTTAACCAAATGTGTTGTTCAGGACTCCTGAGGTCTTAATTACAAAGACCTGAATATTTTCGCCAAAGTTTTCGACTGTAAACTCAATGCTTAAGAATAATAGCCTCTAATGTATTGCCTTTTGTGTGGAGCCGAAGGTTAAGCCTTAAGGCTTATGAGGATTATATGGGTCTTGAAGTCCACTTCAAGTGCTTTATTGAAAACACTTTCATTTGTGAAACATTTTGTGCTTTTATTAAAAATTACCTTTTGTGTGGAGCCGAAGGTTAAGCCTTAAGGCTTATGAGGATTATATGGGTCTTGAAGTCCACTTCAAGTGCTTTATTGAAAACACTTTCATTTGTGAAACATTTTGTGCTTTTATTAAATATTAGAAATTATTAGAGATAAGTGAAACCTTTGTCATATTTATCACTAATTTCTTAAGTGATAAATCTTGTGACTATTAAAAGTTAATTTTAATAATTTTCATCAATTTATATTTGAAATAATTTTAGGCATATAAATTTTAGTTTTATAAATTATGATTTGCATTGAGTTTGAAATAAATAGTGTCAAAACTTTTATTGAAAACATAAAATTGAATTGTACAAAATAAAATAGTTCATGCAAAAAAAATATTAAAAATGGCAAATAGTTTCGAAAATCATACAAATATAAAAGTATTAACACAAACAACTTCATCCATGTATTGCAATTTAAAACTCACCACTGAATACAGAAATTTATAAATAATAACATTGATCACTTTTAGGTGTTATCTTTGAATAGGTACTTAACGGTAAAGTAATTTTAGTTACAGTTGGTACTAAATTACCCGACTTTGACAACTGTCCACACAAATGGGCGATTTTGTGGTGTTTCGTGAGCTCACGACGCGTGAAATAACATTTGTCGCAATTGCTATAACTACACTTATAAGGCCTAATATTATTATGACGATTAACGTGATCCAGATAATAGCGCTTTTGTATAAAAGTTTTTGCGCAACTGCTGTAATCGCATACAAACACCTTATCCTTGATGTGCGTTCGCAAGTGTTTATAGAAGTTTTCTTGACGTGAAAAACTTTTGTTACACTTTTAATAATCACACTTGAACTGCTTGATACTATTGTGTGTCTGCAGGTGGCGCTGGTATATGATCCTGGTCTGTGCACTGAAATAATTTCATGCAATTATTAATAAGATGTAATTATTACAATTATCCATAAAACACCGATATTCACTTGGAGTTGAAGTACTGGTAATAAAAACACAAATAGTCATCAATTAACATAAGTATTGTCTGAAGTATTGTTAATATATTTTATGCATACTTTTGTTGTGTGTTGACCACCGACTGACCACTGATATCACCATTAAGTCGTGCCAAAAATTTGATACAGAATTAAATTTTGTATTCAATAAACTAGTAATTCAAATTCTGTATTCAAATAGGGTTTATGATTTATTAAAATATTTTTTAAAAATTTGTTACAAAATACATGTTTAGTAAAACAATTGTCAAAATTACGATAAACTTAGATGAGCTTAACGGTAATTAAAAACGATTTGTACCATAACTACAGTAAATTTTAAAATATTAAAATACTGTAGTAATGAATACTTTGAATTATGGCTATTTTTGACTTATAAAAATTAATTAGCCGTATATCACTGTCAATTAATACTATCAGGTAGAGTACGATACAGTATAACAAATATTTGTTTCATTTTCAATCACTGCTCATAAGATATTTTATAAATATATGTTCAGTCATTGAATGGCTTATTGTTGCCATAAATTGTTCAAACGGGATGTGAAACTGTTTATATGATATGATTGGCTAAATAGTGACCCCGGAGCGCCTCCTGTGTGCCCACAATTTTGCCGCAATCGGTACATTTGAATAACTCCGGCGATCGGGCAGTTGGCCGGGTAGTCGACGCATTAGTACTGAACGAACTATACCGGTATATATATCGCAAAAAATAATTTTTAATTTCAAAAACTAATTTTGTTGACAAAATACTAACCGTTCACTACTAGAGCGCGAGTGGCTTGAAATGGTTGTCCGCACCGGACTCCTGTGGCTCTCGCGATGGTGTCGCTGCACGAGCTCTTGACTAGTAAACGATTGATCGCATCCGGGATAACGGCAATTGTAGGGCACGGGTAGGCCGTGTATACGCTTGTTATGCATTACGAAATCAAATTCATTATCAAAATCCAGTCGACAGTCACTGTATTTGCAGCGATAATCAGTCGCTTCTAATGATCGTTCGGAAGGCTCGCCCCTACTATGACTACTACTGGCGGGGGAATGGGATCTATAATCTCTGGGACTGGTATATCGTGTATTACCAGTCCTGGTATTACCAAATGGGCTGTTTTTATAAACAATAAATTTAGTTAAATTAGTGCAAATTAAAGCAATTAATTTTCATGCAAATCAACTAACCGTTCACTACTAGTGCGCGAGTGGTTTGATAGGGTTGGCCGCACTCGACCACCATTTGTCTTATGAGTCTCATAATAATGTCGCTTTACTAGTGATACGCTATCAAACTTTTGATTACAGCCTGGACTACGGCACAGGTAGGGCACCCTTACGCGGTGTCGGAACCGTAAATGAGTATCGAAAGCATCTTTATTGTCAAAAACGAGTTCACAGTCTCTGTATTGACAGCGAAACGCAGTGTTACCGACAGATTCACGGCAATCTATGCCTATATTATGAGTATCAATAGGGGACTCGGATGTCAAATCTCTGGGACTGGTATGATCTGGTGGTAAAGGGAGCCTGAGATCAGACATCACATTCGTAGCAATACTGCCGGCATTTGAAGGGCTATTTGATTTGAAAAAACTAAATTCAGTCAAAATTATCTAAAAATAAATTACCGTTTGGTAATAGATAAAATACATACCTGTGCTCATGATAAACATTGGCATTCCTTGAATTATAGCAATCTTCATGTGGTATTTGTTGTGAATGTAGGTTCCGTTTGTGTAGATCTAACAGTGATTCACTGCTAAACCTATTGCCACAGTCGTTAACATCACAAACATAAGGCAGAGGAACAGCCGTTTTATCAGTGGCCGACACACGAGAACCTACTTTCATGTGAGCGATTCTGATGTGAGTGGACAGGGCTTTGTAGGCATGAAAAGCCTGACCACAACACGAGAACTTCCCTTTCGGGCCCTTATTTGGTGGTCTAGTAGTCGACTCATCATTAGTAGACTCACTATTTGTTTGACAAAAAAATGAATTAATATTTTAAAACAAAAACAAATGAATATAAAAATAAAATACTTGTGCGAAGTGGAGGGAACACTAGGGTTACGGCTATTCTCAGGTGGCAGTGAATGTGCTTTACGTGTGTGAGAATCGAGTGCCGATTGACTGCTAAACCTTTCGGGACACCCATTCCCACACCTATACAGTACGGACCCGCTATGGGTTGCCTTTTGATGGCGTTTCCTATCAAATATGTTATCAAACTCTTTGTCGCATTCCTTACATTTGAACGCCTTTTGCGGCTCATCACTGGCCAAACCATGAGTGTCTGACCCCTGGGGGTCATTCACATCAAACCCATTGACATGATTGGCCACCATATGGTCCGTGAGTGCGACCGACGTATCCAACACTTTGTCACATAAATCACAACCAAAAGTCTTTTTGTTGAAAATCTTTGATATGTTTTTCGTCGCCAAATTAACTAATGAACCGGTATTCTGCGGACAGGTAGTTATTTTAGGCTTCTTAGCTACCGGTGCTTCGCTTTCAGTTTCTATCGATGATGTTATAGGCACTGGTATGCATTCATTGGCAGATCTAGGGCTAAGTATACGTTTAGGTATACGCCACGTATTAATAGGTTTGGACATATGACTTGTATAACTATTGGAAGTGGTGGGAACCGGTGTTTCAGTAGGAGTTTCAATAATCTCTATACAGTTACTACTGGATACATTAGAAACAGGAGGTTCAATTACACCATTAATACCAGTACTTAGTATCGGCATCGGATGTTTGTCAGTGCTAGTGATGGGCACTGAAGCGCCAGTAGTCTTACTAACATTAGATACCCGAGACTTTACTGGGATGTGATTGGCTTTGGTGTGTCCGTTAAGTGCGGTCTCGTTATCAAATTTTTTCCAACAAAAAGCACACATAAATGGTATGCCCTTTGGCCCGGTAGTCGACTTACTTTTACTGTACGACAGAAATAATAATTTCAATTAATAGTACAGTAAATGATAAACAATTAAATTAATAAATAGTAAATACTTGCGAGAAGTGTTGGCATCCATTGGCTTATTGTTGTTCTTACGACTCATTTGCTGGGATTTAGCGGTTTGTTTGCGTGTGGGGTCCGGTATGCGATGGACACTCCACTTGTGTCCAATGAGCGTTACCTCATTTCTATAACTTTGGTCACAGTTATTAACATCACATTTATATGGTTTTTCTGGAGTCACTGTCAGCTCATCAGTTGTGGTATTCACATGAGATTCTAATGTATGACTACTTGTTTGGGCGCCGGTATCAACAGTATTGTCTTCAATGGATTCATTGGGAGTATTCATTGAATTCGTTTGAGGGATGGAAGTGATCGGCGACGAGGAGCTAATTATCACCGGCTGTTGTAATATCAGTCGCAGCCATGTTTGTAACACCTGGTGAAGTGTTGAGCACCGGTAGGAAGTGATCGGCAATGTGGTGACCCTCTCGCAAGTGATTACTAAACCCTTCACTACTATTGCATCCGTACCTACACTTCGCACGACTGCATACGTATAACTTGAGTACTGAATGAAAGGCTTTGTTATGTTTCTTGAAAGTAGGCAATGACTTGAAGTCTTTATGACAGATATCGCACTGGAATAGCATTTCTGTGGGAACCGGTAGCTCAGTAGCCAATACATCAGTATTTGACGGACTATTGGTTAACAAAATTCATTTCAATTAAATGAATGTATTTAATGAATGCATAAACAATACATGTCTGAAGAGTTCGGGTCTATCAATGTCTTTGAAGTAGTTGTTGGCACTCGAGAGGCGTTTATCGACTGTTTCCTATCATCTGATGGTTGTTTGGGAGCCAAGAAGTATGAGAAGCCGTCCGACTTTGAGTTCTTGACGGACCAGATGTCGGCGCTGAAGGCGTCGGTGGACACGGATTTGGATGCCATGAGGGATGAGATAAAGGGCTGGTTTGAGACAAAGGAATGGGACGGAAAAGACATGATGGACGAGACGGTGGCGCTCAGGGAGACGGCCGTCCGTATTGACAGTCAGTACAAGGAGTTGAGGCGCGAGTTGACTGAATTGAAGGCGAGGTTTGTGTCAAATAAAAAAGTTTTCATAACTTTTGAGACACTTTTAAAGTTAGACTCAAAAATTAGTTGTAATTGTATGAAGAGTTTAATTATTTATAGGTTTAGTGTTTATCTCATGCTTTTATGATTAATAAGTTTTTTCGTATTATTTTTTTGTCACAAATAGACTTTCAAAGACTAATACAACATCTGAGGGAAAGGCATCACAAAACCCATTGAATACGACTTCAAGCGAGACATTGACGCCGAGGACTGTCATCGATATGTTTAATGAAATCCGCAATCAATTGAAAGTAACGAACAGTTTGTTGAATGATATGAATGAAGACAATGACGTGAAGGCGCTGATAGCGCCGGAAGGTATGGCTGATGGCAATGATAGCAAAGAGAGCAGATCCAGAGTGACCACAAAAAGTCTGAGACGTCTGGAGAAGAAAACTAATTTAATTTTACCCCGACTTTAGTTGCACTGTGTTTGTCATTTACTGGTTATCATGGTAACTTTTCCAGAATATTCTTAATATTTTCCCGATTGTATTGTTTTTAGATATACTTTCTAATAAGTGTCAATAAAAATCAATTTTTATTTACGTTAATGAACTAATAAATTATTAATTGCACAAAATTATTAACTTGTTAATTACTCTTGAAATAGGTATAAATTATTTTACTAATATTAAATAACAACAATTATTTATTGAAAATTACTTTGTTACTTGACAATTTTTTTAGCTTGGTCTTTTCTTTACATTAAACAAATTTACACATTAAATGCACTGTAAACATTAATGCAATGAATAAGTTAATTGTTTGACCGTTAACATTTAATTACTCAATATTTTTAAATAAAATTATAATTATTGACAATGATTCATGGTACTATTTAAACTTTTGTACGTTTATTTCAATTCTGCGGTAAATTGATTGCAATACTAGTGTAACATTTAATTTGTTTTATGTTAGTATGTTATAGTGGTCTTATATTATTTTCCTTAATCGTTATAATTATTGATTATTTAATATGACAACACTTTCTATTTACTACAATTTTAATAAGTTATTAATATTATATAATACTAATAATAACCAATGATACTATGGTAACCAGTATTTTCATGTAATACAACACGTAATTAAATCTATTTATTTGTAAATAACTACTTTATGAAAACAAGTGAAATGCTAATTAGTGCTAACAATTTGAAAATAAGATGAGATTTTATCATTTAAGGTCTGGACAGTGAATAGGGATTGAAATCTGATTGTAGTGTTTGACTATAAAGTGTAAATTGAATGACAATTGAATTGTGTTTTATATTTAAGACTTATTTATAAAATAGCATAAAATTTATTGAAAATACAATCGCATTAATCAATCAGTGGATCAGCTATAAGATGTCAAAGACTATAAGCTTTGTGTTAAAGAGTGGCAAATATAAAAGCTATTATGTGGACACCAATGAGGTTAAGACAATCACTGACTTGAAGTGTTTCCTCTGGAGATGTGGTGTCTATTTCCACGAGACCGACAAATTGGTACTCAATAAGAGGGATTTCAATCACCGTTTATTGTCGGTGTCATTGGATTCAATGGGTGATCACTTTAGGGTCAATGATATCAGATCTGCAGATGAAGTCGAGATTATCGCCAAAACAGAGTCCGAACGCAAAGTCGATAAATTAGATAATCAGATGAAACAGTTGTCGGAAGAAAACAATAGTTTAAGAGAAGAGTTGTCGGCTTTGAAGGCATCGAAAGACACGATTGAAACGGAAGTTAAGAATTTGAGGGATGAGTGGAAAGACATGAATGAAGTGAAGGAAAGTGTAGACAATGTTGTGATAGAAGAGTTGAGACAAGAGTTGCTGTCTTTGAAGGAAACAAATGAGAGAAACGAAAGTCAGTTAAAAGAGTTGACGGAAGAGATCAACTCAACGGAGAAGAGGTTTGTTTCAGATCTCCTCTTAAAATCAGATTTATTTTTAGATTTTTAATTGTTTATCATTTATGGGTTAAACAGTGGCTCAGAGACCGACCGAACTTCTGGTGGAAAGGGATCACACAATCCATTGAATACCACTTTTGGTGATAAGGATGTGATGGAAATGTTTAATGAGATCTTAAAACACATCCAAAAGACAAATGATTTGATGAATGATATGAATGGAGAGAAGGATAAGGCGTTGACAGCACTCGAGGGGATCAGACAAGTGGTGGACAACACAGACACTGAATCCATGGCTAGTGTTCAGACAATAAGCGAAAACATGTATGAAATGAAAACACAATCTAAAACTTACGCTCAAATGAGTGGCAATTGTGTGGACTCTGAGTCTGTGGCCAACACTTCAATGTATGCATCGATTGTCTCATTAATGTTACCATCAATTCATTCATTACTTTATATTATTAACAGTTCTTCGAGTATTGAAGACATACTTCAGGAGCCAATGGCAGACAAGATCTCATGGTTTGTGCTGAAGTATAGCCAAAAGTTGTCACAAATGACTGAAGTGTGGAAATCATTGTCTGGAATAAGGTTTGTGTGAATCCTATACCAAATATAGTTTTCAATTATGTATTGATTTATGATTTGTCTCATTATATGAACAGCTCTTCTCTGAGGTCTGAAGTGATGGACGAAATGTTGGCTCAATTCACGGATCAATTAACTGTTGATAAGAATAAAATCTTTTCATAGAATATATTCTCAATCCTTTATTTAATACTATTGGCTGTCTTTCTACTTTTCATACAAATTATGGTCTAATTATGATCACAAAATTTAATAAAACTAAAAATAAATAATACAAATTAAAAAAAATAACATTTCTTTTTGAAAATTGATTTAATTTGTAACACTTTGATGGCATATGAAGAGACTAATCAATCACTGTTATAATTATACCGATCTCTAACAACAGGGTAATAAACTGTTATATTGAGTGAACGTGGTGTTTTTTGATTTTGGTGTATTTGTTATATTTTACCTTGAATATGTTCAACAAATTATTTCAATGGAATGACTTTACTTACAAAAGGTTCACCACTTTTTCTAAGGAGATTAAATACAATATACATTGATAAGTTTCATTCCTGACCACATTACACACCCTTTTGAAAGTATAATTATTCTCAAAATTCACACTAATTTTTGCTATTTATAAACGTTGAGCTCAACCTACAAAATTTGTATATTTAATACAATACTTATAAAATAAGTGAAACACTGTTAGTTAGCCTTTGCAATCAGTGTTTGACAACATACAGTATAGTGAAGTGAACCACATGTTATTTAATTTACATATATTGGCTTAAATTCATTTTGCCTGACATTAAGGCAGTGAAACTACTATGTTACCCAATATAAATATTAGCGTGGTGTTAAAATCGGGTTTCAAAAAATCAATGTATGTGAATTATGATGAGACTATAGGGGATTTGAAGTGTGACCTCCAGAAGTGTGGGATCTATTGCGAGGACACCGACTATTTCGTACACAATCGCAGTGATTTAAAAGGTGGATATTGGTATGGGTATAGAGATTTGTTGGATAAACATTTGGATAAGGATTTGGTGGATAAACATTTGAGAACCGGCTCTGAAATTCTTGTAATCAGTAAACCAGAGATCCGATGCAAATGTAATGAATTGGATAATCAGATGAAACAGTTGTCGACAAACAATAATAGTTTGAGAGCAGAGATGTCCGTTTTGAAGGCATCCGTATATATGATAGAAACGGAAATCAAGGCATTGAGGGATGCGATGAAAGACATGAACGATATGAAGGAAAGGGATGTGAAAGACATGAGACAAGAGTTGATGTCTTCGGGAGAAAATGTGTCACAATTTAAGCGACAAATGTCTGTTAAAATGCAACTCCTTATCGGATTTATCGTTTGCCTCTTAATTGGTGTATATCTTGAGTACAACTCAATCAAAGATTTGGACCACAAGTGCAGTGATGTTGTCATTGAGACCAACATTTTGAGGGATGGGTTGTCGGCATTAAACGCATCCAAGTCTGACATCGAGAGACAAATCATTGATATCACAGGACATGAAATGTATAAAACCAATGAGACAATCGGTGGTAAATACCAAGATTTGATGGAAAGGCTCATTGAAGTGGAGAACAGGTATAATTGAATCTAAAAGTTATTGAATAATGGATATAATAATTGAATTAATCTTCACCTTTGATCCCATAGTGTGTCCACATGTGGTGTGCCCTTAATATTCATCATTGGTTTGCAGTAATACTTGTGGTCTATAGGATTGTAAACCATTTGCGAAAATGGTTGTATCAACTCATGAGTTGTCAAATTGATGACAATTGTGTGGACTCGGAGTCTGTGACCAACACTTCAATGTGTGAAGCATAAACTGAAGCCGAGTTTATTACTGGAAATTTGTTTGTGATTGTTGGGGGTCAATGTTGCACCTAGCATCATGATAAATTTCATGCAAAACAAATTATAGTATGTGAAGTTACATCTTAATTAAATTAAACGAATTGTGATTTATATGAATTAAGTTGTTTGCACAAGCTAAAACCCGTAAACTACTATACTAACAAGTTAATTATAAGAAATATTTAAACATTTGAATGTATGTAGACTCTAGTGATATAGAGATATTGTCAATATTTTAGTAGATTTTTGAAATAATATATAATCTTGTTTATTCTGTAAAACAACTGGTTAGTCTATACCTAGAGACTTTTTACAGTTCTTATTGTATTTAGGTTAAATTCATGGATCGTCAATAAAAAAATTAATAAAATAAAATATTCATTTAATTTAATAATAATATATTATATTATAATAAAAATAAGAAAATATTCTTAACTTAGCATTTTGTAATAAACATTTTTAGTATTGCTTAAAGTGAATTCTTAGTTACAGTACATGTTGAATTTTTTAGTGAATT